GGGTTTGAACGGCCCGCCAACATGCAGACGACATGCATAATCGTGTAAACAGCGTCATTTCTCTTATGTACAAAAGATTCATTATTGTTTATTACTGAATGTCTTTTTTAATGAATTAATGTTTATGTGTGCAAAATGAGCAATACAATTCATTAATAATACGTAGAATATTAAAACACATGAGGAAATGACACAGCACTGTTTATGTTGATTACAAAACCAGTGACTGACTGGTTCTACATATAAAACTGAAGAAAATAAGACCTTGGCTGTAGCTGTAGTAAAATTAATATGGTTGTTTTAAGTAATGTTATTTAATGTTAATATATGGAACAATAAAAGTAGCTAACGATAATGGTAAAAAAAAAAAAGAGAGATCGCGTATGTAAGTGCGCATGCGCACACGTGAAAACATATCGTCATTACTTTACATAAGAATATGAAAGCAACACTTATTTACTGTTCATATATATTTAAATTAATGCTTCTGAATTTGTTTTTATTGAATTAATGTTTGTGTGTGCAAAATTAACAATACAATTTATTAATAATACGTGGAATATTAGAGGAGACGAGACGGCTGCCGGCATTGTTTATGTTAAAGCTTACAAAACCAGTGACTGATTGGTTCTACATATAAAACTGAAGAAAATAAGACCCTGATTTTAGCTGTAGTAAAATTAATGTAAAAAAATTAATATGGTTGTTTGAAGTACCTGTAATGTTATTTAATGTTAATAAATGGAACAATATAAGTAGCTAACCATTAATGGTAAAAAAAAAAGTGAGACTGCGCGTATGTAAGTGCGCACATGTGAAAACATATCGTCATTACTCTACATAAGAATATGAAAGCAACACTTATTTACTGCTCATATATATTGAAGGGTTAAATGTTGTACTCTGTATAGACAAGCAGAGAGAGAGAGAGAGAGAGCAGCCGAACTGCCGGATGTAAACAAACCTTAATTTCCCGCGGCTTTGCCCACCCGGGCATAGGTTTTTTTTAATAAAAAAAGCTGCCTATCTACCTATTGGACAAACTAAAGTCATTCCGGACCACGGGAGTTTCTGGACCACAGAATGCCGGACTAGAGGGGTACAACCTGTATATACTAAATAGAAAATAAATAGAAAACAGTAAAATTATAAAAGAAATTATCTCTCCTCTTACACATATGTATTAATAATTTAGTGAAAGAATAACAAACTTATTTCATCCCCCCACCCCTTACACCAGTGGTACACAGGTTGCCAAATCCATCAAACATTGCCTGTTAAAGTACACTCACGCACCATAGTTTCGATGCACCCTCTACCCCTACTGGCTCGAGGGAAGTAGTCAGGGCTGCAAACCGACCGGTCCCTCTTGTATTGTGATGGTAAATAAAGTGTTGTGAAGTCACTAAAAAAAAACTTGTGCATATATTCTTTAGAATATTACATCATGAAATGCTATTTGTACAATCCAGCGAAGCTTCGAGCTACTACATTGCACCACTGAATGAAGGGTGGGGGGAAGTGAGGGGAGGGGGATGTTTGGTATGAAGCCAAGGCTACAACTTCCATCAAGTCAGGGGTAGAGGTGCATCGAAACTATGGCGCTTGAGTGTACCTGTAAAAGAGAGAGTGAAGCAACATTTCGGTGAAGAGAAAGGGAAGAGATTATCAACTAAAGGAGGAAAGTTAATGAGACAAAATGCCTTTGATTCCATCCTATCTAACAGTTGGACAGAAGAAGAGCCACCCCAGATATGAGAGCAGTACTCCAAGTTAGGACGAATGAATCCCTTATAAACTTGAAGCGACTGCTCAAGAGACTAGTAGGCTACAGCATCTGTGCAGCATTCCCAGCTTTCAGGAGGTAGCTTTAGCAATGTTATGTATGTGCAGCTTCCATGACATTTTAGAGGAAATGGTGAGACCTAGCATATCTATTTTAGAATTTGACAAAATGATTGCATCCTGAAATATGTTTGGTGGGAGATCTTCTATTTTGGAAAGTGTAATTGTTAAATGCTGTTTTATTATTATTGAATTTAACCAAGTTTCTACCTCCCCATTCGGAGATTCCCGCATTGATAGATGAAATTATATCAGCTCTGGAAACAGATCTAGTTTGAGAATTGGGGGAAGGGAAAAATATGAAGAGGAGTGATGGGTAGAATCATCAGCGTAAGAATAGATAGAATTAGTCGTAGTGTGAAGTAAATCATTGATAAAAAGAAGGAAGAGAGTAGGAGAAAGAACAGAACCCTGTGGGACACCACTATTGGTAGAGAAAAAGCGAGAGATCGATCCCTCGACAACAACTGCCATGGATTGGTTCTCAAGGAAGCTAGAAATTGGAGAACAAAGTGGGGGAAAGAAATCATAGGAGAGAAGTTTAGAAAGCAAAGACTTGAGCCATACCCTGTCAAATGCCTTGGAGATGTCGAAGGCCATGACGAAAGTTTCCCCATAACCCCTAAGAGAGGATGTCCAAAGATGGATGCAGTAGGAGAGCAGATAACCAGTAGATCCGACAAAAGAGAATGGCGTTCAAGGTGACAGAGAAAATGAGAGTTTAAGATAGTTTAAAAAAATCTTAGAGAGGGATGAAGTTAGGGCAATGGAGCGATAGTTAGAGGGATTGGAATGGTCACCCTTCTTCATGATAGGATGAGCCAAGGCATGCTTCCAAGAAGAAGGAAAAGTTTGGGTTTTGAGGCAAAGGCGAAACAGGCGAACATGCAGGGGGGCCAGAACTTAAGCACACTCCCTCAGAACGCGAGGGGGTATTCCGTCCGGTCCGTGTGCCTTACTCACATCCAACCTGGATAACACACCGGCAGCCCTACGAGTGGAGATAATAGGAAAGTGCATAGGTTCAGTAGGAGGAGCAGGAGTAGGAGGGATAGAGTTGGAATTGTCTAAGATGGAATTAGATGAGAATAAGGTGCCAAAAAGATTGGCTTTATCAGGGGAAGAGTTGGCTATAGATTTATCAGGTTAAAAGAGAGGCAGAAAAGAGAGAGTGCAGAAGTTATTACAGATGTTTTTGGTTAAGGACCAGAAGGATGTACTAGAAGAAGAGTTAATCAGGTCAGCGGCCTTTCTTTTTATAAAATTCCGCTTGGCCCCATGAAGAATAACCTAACAACGATTCCTAGAAGTAATGAAAGAGGAGTGGGTAATAGGAGAAGGGGATACAGTGGTCCCTCGGTTAATGAGCACAATTCGTTCCAGAAGGTCTTTCGTTAACCAAATCCATTGTTTCAATGGGATATTGGGTAATGGTTCCAGCTCACCGAAAAGTACATACAAAGTAAAAAAAAAATGCAGTAAAGTACACTTACTTTGAGGTGTGTATGTAGAAGGCTCCTGGTTGATGATGATGATGGGAATTAGAAGTAGGGGTGGAGAAGGGAGAAGAGAAGGAAGTGGGGGTGGAGAAGGGAGAAGAGAAGGAAGTGGGGGTGGAGAAGGGAGAAGAGAAGGAAGTGGGGGTGGAGAAGGGAGAAGAGAAGGAAGTGGGGGTGGAGAAGGGAGAAGAGAAGGAAGTGGGGATGGAGGAGAAATCACCTTTCAGGAGACCCATGCTTGATGCCATCATTTCACCAATAAAATTTTAAGTTCACTAGGTGTAATTCAAGATTATTTTATTTAAATCAACACTGCACTGTACTACTATATATTATCAATATTTTAACTAAAGTTCAGAATGACCGATAATTTCAATGAAAAATGCAAAAATATTCAAGACACCAACAAAATAGGTGCTCTCTCCACTGTTTTCAAAGCTCATCCGACGCCTTGTGGCCGACTCACGCATCTGATGGGTGCACAAAAAACTAGTTCCTTGTACTGCATATATTATCAATATGATAAATAAATGTTAAAATAACTAATAATTTTAATATAAAAAATGCAAAAATATTAAAGAGCACAACTTTATTGATATTTACTCCACTGGAAACGAATGTAAAGATAGAACAGATTACTGAATTGGCAGACTAGCCCATCAGCTGATGCTCACAACAAAACGTGATGTTCGTAAGGATTTCGTTAATCGAATTTTTGTTCGTTAACCGAATTGAAGATTCTTATGGAAGGTAATTCGTTAACCGAACCGTTCGTTAACCGAGGGACCACTGTATATCACTTTCTTTGGTTATCTTATTTGCAAAGTTATTTCTGTCTTACATAACCTTTGATTTTTAGTTATGTTATCTTTTATTTTATTAGGTACTGTACTTCAAAAGATAAAGACATCGCTTAAAATGAATATGAAAATTTTTAAATTATAAGGTACAGTAAAATAACTTTTTTCTCCAACGTTCATTTATTTTAATGTTCATACATACAATAGCAGCCTATTCAAATTTATATCTAGTATTAATGTGCAGATATTATAGAGCTATGGTAAGGCAATAATTTACAATAATCTTAAGTCCCTGATAGAAACTTTATATTACCGGTACAATGAAGGACTAGTAAACATTGTACATTTGATATGTACAAGGATAAGACATTTAAGAATACAGGTTGACAATCCCTTATCCGAAATCCTTGGGGCCAGAAGCATTTCGGATTTTGGAATTTTTCGTTTTTCAATTTTTTTTTTTTTTTGTCTATAAGCCCACCCGAGCATAGATCACTGACCCACATCGAGGCCTGGGGGAAATAATAATAATAATAATAATAATAATAATAATAATAATAATAATAATAATAATAATAATAATAATAATAATAATTCATAGATCTAGGTCGCATTTCTCACTTTTGATCTTTTTTTTTCATTCTTGTATTTCTTTACTATTATTATTATTTTAGTACAGTATTATTATTATTATTATTATTATTATTTTATTTTGGTGTACAGTATTTTAATTAAAAATTTTATTTTCTCTGAATAATTATTATTATAATTATTATTACTATTACATTTTCGCCCACCAGGCCCCGATGTGAGTCAGTGATTTATGCCCGAGTGGGCTAATCCCTGGTTTAAAAAAAAAAAAAAAAAAAAATCGGTTTTTAGAGCTTTTCGGTTTTCGGATACAGGGTTGTCAACCTGTATTATGAATCATCCCTACACAAGTATTTGACTATGAACCAACAACAGCTTGGTTATACCAAAATAAAAAGGTTTTATTAACTTAGTAACATACAGCATCTTGATGAGGTTATTTAGTTGATATTTTTGGTATCTTGTGACTGTTTAATTGACCTTATCAAAGTATTCAAGTGATCCACTTGGGTCAGGCTTGATGGTTGGTGATTCAGGCTGCCAATTAGCTGGACAAACTGAAACACAAAATAACACTGAAGGATCTATGCACATCACATCATTCCAAGTAGTTTCCTAAAATACTGTAAATTTACCTTATTTACCTAATGGCCACCCACTATAGGTGGTTATGCCGAGGGAAAAAGGCCAATGGCCTCTGTAGGATCTCTTTCTCTCTCCACCCGCCCCTCCCCATACATTCCAACACCATTCACACACCCCCAACAAGAGAATGGAGACAGCAAACATGAGGAGTGAGGGTCTTAGTGTATGACACATCAGTGTGTGTGTGACTGAATGGTAGTGAGTTAAATATCAGGTGTTGAGGAGCACTTGGCAACACTCAATTCCACTCCATCTCTCTAATCACCCACAACTTTCTCACTCGATATTCTAAAATGTTATTTAACGTAATGTTGGAGGGATACAGCTTTGCTCATTTATTCTTATACTTATCACAATCTCTCTAAAAATACTTCAGGTTTCGTGTTTATTCAAGACATCTTCAGGTCATGACGCCCACTAATCCTCCACCCAAGAAAGGGTGACCTGACATTCCACCAGGTCAGTAATATGAAACCACTAATCCCCCACCCTACCTCCACCTGACACTGTCAGGTCAGATCAATTACAAGAGACCCACTAATCCCCCACATCTCCATGTGAGTGAAAAATACCAGTCTTTGCTATAACTCACAGCTTCATTCACGCCCATATCCATTAGATTTTTTATTTTTAAATATATTTATTTAACCAAACTATTCTGGATTATTATACTAAAGAAATGAAGTTTCTAACTTAATTAGAACTGTATTTACGGATTCCAGTAATTTAGACTTGAGGAAAATATCTCCAGCACCCAGAAACATTCTGGGGAAGTGGGCTAGTGTGCATCTGTGCAAGATGTCTAGTTTAGACACTCGGAAACTTTTTCCAGTTACCGAATAAGGTTCGGGGGATAAGGAATTTTTCCAGGAATGAGAAAGTCATCTCATTACCCGGAAATCTCTCATCCCTGGAAGTGCTCTGCACCAATTGTTCCGGCTAACGGGGATATCATTACATCTGTGGTGGAGCCTGGATCAGGCAGACATGCTTAAAGAGCTCCAACAAGACCCCAATGGCAGTATAGGCAGAAGAGGTGACCAACATGGGAACCCAATGACTACACCAGGGGACGAAGGCAATGCATGATGGACAGGCTACAAAGGCGAAACCCAACAAGCTGAGCTATCGGCAGTCCATTGCATCTCTCCCTCTCCCCAGTCGTTGCAACACTTGCACCACTGGATCAGGTAAAGGAAGAGCCAAGATATGTGGTTTCAACCTGCGCTCCTGCCTCACCATATAAATCAACTCACACACACACACCCATCATCCAGCTCACCATTTTTTATCAAAATAATCCTGAATACTTTATCTAAAAGTTTGGTTAAATAAAAATATTTAAAAAAAAAAAAAATATCTACACTATATGGTACGGGCATAACTAGAGCTGTGTTACAACAAAGAGTGTGGTATTTTCCAAGAGTAAATGATGCAGCTCCTAGGAGCTATAGTTATTTACACAAACACCACTGTACAAGTACAATACTGTTCATACTGTAAACATAATAACGTTTACTACTGTACTACTATACTGTAGTAATATCTCTGTTAGCCGGCATCCATCAAACCCTGAACTCTCCGATAGCCGGAATTGAAATTTTCTCGAAAAATCGTTCCCAAAGCCGTAATTTTCCGGCTTTACGAACGATTTTCCAAGGGGCACATTTTCTGGAAAATTCTGAGAAAATTTTCCCGATACCCAGAAATTCCGGGGATGGGGGAGTTTTTTCCGGGTTTGAGAGATGAAAATCAGGAGCATTTACTGGAAATTCAGAGAGAATTTTTCCGTTACCCCAAAAATTACAGGGATGAGGGATTTATTTCCGGGTTCGAGAGATGATGTAATGGGCAATTTCTGGAACTTCTGAGAAAAAATTTACGTTACCCGGAAAATCACGGGGATGAGGGGATATTTTTCCGGCTTTGAGAGAGTTGTCTCGTTACCCGGAAATCTTTCATTCTCGTAAGTGCTATGCACCAATTGTTCCAGCTAATGGGGATATCACTTGTATATATATTATACTCGCCAGCAGATCCTGTGATCTTTAGCCTAGAGTAGGCTGACACTTCACTCAGCTGACTGTGATACATAACTGTAATCACGTCTTAACACTTGTGATGGAGGTTGGGTGGGAGATTATTGGGTCACGTTACCAACCTGACCTGATGCAATGTCAGGTCACCCATTGTTGGGTGGGGATATGTGGGTCTTGTGACCTGAATATGTCTTGAATAACATCATTTTCCACCTATGAGGTATATACATACAGTGGGGTATGCTATAACGAATCTAATTGGTTCTAGAACCTTGTTCGTTATAGCATTCGTTCGTTATAGGATTAATCCGTTCCAGGCCCCCAAATACAACCACTTAACACTGAAAAATATAATATAAAATTGTAAAAATTGTAAAAAAGTGCATAAATATGCATCTAAACCCCTGAAATAAAGAATATCATTAATATTTGTAATAAAAAAACAATAAATTAGTAAAAAAAAAAATTTTTTAAATTATGTTTGTTGTAGGAGTTTCGTTCGTTATAGCATTCTCAATTTTATAGGTAAAACCGTTCGTTATAGGAATATTCGTAGTAGGATCCGTTCATTATAGCATACCCCACTGTAGTACTGTACTGTATAATATATGAAGGGTACATGTATTAATAAGCACAGATTATTACAGTAACATATCTTTACTAATTAATGAAAAACAAATAAACAATATTGTATCATGAGTGAGTCAGTACAGTGGTAACAATCAGTGAGGGGGGGGGGGGGGAGTGTGGTGCAGTCACATTTGCTCTCCTATGGACCCTTCCCCCTCTCCCTCCTTTACTCACAGCAGTCATTATAAACTTCTATTTGTGTTAAAGAGATGAACTTGATACCATAATGATACTGAATAAATTATCTACTAGACGTTTCCAATATGATTTATTTAAGGGGAGCGTTCGGCTGAAGCACGAAATTCGTTAATAATTGATCAATCAATATCGATTTCCTGTTAGCAATTAAGGAGACCAGATACATTGCTACTATATACCTGAATCGGTTCTGCCTAATCCCTAATATCGATTTTTCCCTTATATTTTTATCAGTTTTCAAAATCCTACTTCTCCATAACTTCTCGCTAAATCACGTTGAAATTCAGGTAGAGTATACGTAATTTACTCCCTTTGAACGTGACATATAGAAATTCCTGATTATCTCTTTAGTTTTGGGTGCATGAATTTTTTTCCTAACTTACCATTTTTTCCTCCAAATATTTATAAAGATAAATCAACAAATAATAAACCAAACCAAATATAAAGAAAATCTATAGGTTCATCCATACCTAATATGCTATTCTTCTACTCAGTTTTTGTTATATTAGAATTGGCCCATAAATGACAGAGCCTTAAGGATTTGAAGGTTAGAAAAACTCATTCTGAGATATGGACCGATAAAGGTGGCACGAGAGCAACTCACGATCGTACTTCACTCTGGCATGTTTGATGGGTCATTGACTTCGTGATGATGGCCTCCTGTGGTTAACTGTCAGATTTTTACTAAGTGATTGTTAGTATTTTACACCAAAATATTATTATAAATACTTTACAACAGCTTTTCTTAAGTAAACAGAAGGGCCTTCTAAATGAAGAGGGGGGGGGGGGAAGACCAATCATGCATAGCTAGATAAATATTACAAATTACTGTATATGCAATAAAAATATGTCGGCATATAGCCATACGCAACAGCTTTCCTCAGGAATTTTTCTGAATATTTTCGTAATTTTCCAATTTTTAGCAAGATGCTCCCCTTAAATGATAAGCCGAATAATAAGGTAAAATATGTATTTTCCTGTATATGAAGCGTACTGGTATTAATAAGCTCAAATTATCAGTCTCTATCCCCAAGTCTCTTTGACCAGAACTAAACAAAGAATTTATTCAAAATACTCTAACATTCAATACCTTAATATTCTGACCACTGGGGCTAGTTATACAGATTTTTCCCTATGAAAAAAAAAATAATTTTGAGCAACATATTATTGTATTGTACCGTACTCACTTTTCACTCATATATACTAAGCTCCCGGACTAAAATTTTTATCTCTTGCGCAAACTATAAGATGTTTATACTCATTTTAATTGCTATCTTGCAAGGATTCCAGCAATGCAAGTTATATTTTGCAAGGTCAAGTCTGTGACATTTTATAAGAGTAAAACTTTAAGCCTAAAACAACCTTCACCCCATTAATTGTTATCACCCACCACCATCTGCCTCCCCTGCTAGATGGGGGGATGGGTGTTGACAGCCTGGAAGGGAGATTAACGTGTACGTAGTTGTCAGGGTCTCAAGGATTATAAAAGACAGGGAGTAAGTTTTTTCCTTATAAAATATCGCTGACTTGACTTAGCAGAATATAACTTGCATTGCTGGAACTCTTGCAAGATCACAATTAATTTGAGTATAAACATCTCAGAGTTTGCACTAGACAAAATTTTTAGTAATTAACTTACTGTAGTACATTTGAGTACAGGTTGTGATAATTTATGCGGTTGCTTCACGACATCAATAGTGTATAATGTGTCTCCATATGCCCTGGCTTATTCACTTATCAGTTGTCCAAGTGCAAACGTTGCCAAATCGAGCCATCATGTATCAATTAATTTTAAAACAGAAATTATAAAGTAAAATGTTTTAAGACAATGGTTTAGTAGTGCTGTGTAGTGTCTTGGCATATCACCTCACCACCTGACTCCGTAACCACACCCTTTGCCTTGTTAGCTCGGCTCAGAATTATTAATTTATTATTGTATAATTTTACTTTTTTAGTATTGTATGTACATTTAAAGCAATATTTAAATTTACACAGTACCTTAATTATAAATAGACCCAGAGCAGAAAAATACAGTATTATCCAAGAGGTTGGTCTTACCACCCACACACCAACCATGTGAGGATGTGGCTAAACATGATGCAGTCTTTCATAATGCCAGGAACCCTTGTCCCCAGGATCTAAGCAGAAAGGTTTAGAGTGATCTTACAATTTTCTCAGAATTTCCAGTACAGTAATTGTGCATTATTTCATTATCGACATTTGCCCCTAGACCCAGAAATACAAATTTGGACAGCTTTCCCTTTTTTTTTTAATTGGCAGAAAATGCTCCTGTATTTCAACCTCAGAATTTGTTCCCAAACCCAGAATTCAGAGAATTTTCCGGAAAAATTCCGAGCAAATTTCAATTCCAGCTATTGGAGAGTTCCGGGTTTGAGGGATTCCGGCTAACGAGATATTACTGTACTTCTTAAGTGATGATAAACACACTACGAAAGTATTTATTAAGTGATGATAAATACACTACTGTACTGTACTACAGTAATTTACAAAGTGTTGATGACACATAGTGGTAAGCAGCTAAGCCTATCAGCTGTTTGCCCTTTGTAAACAAATGATTCATGGTGTTGAGTGTGGGATTCTTTTTTCAGGAAAGTTGATTCTTTTAGGATAATAGTTTATCAACCTGGCACCAAATAATCCTAAATTATATGAGAATTATGGTGAAATTGCATAAAGACGTGTTAAAGGGATCTTGGGGGAGGGAGCCACCCACCCGCCCTCTCCCCTATGCTCCCAGATCAACACTCATCTTCCACCTACAATATACTCCTCCACTTATTTGTTCTTATTTTTTCTTAATAGTACTATACAGTACAGGTTGACAATTCCTTATCCGAAATCCTTGGGACCAGAGGCATTTCGGAATTTTTCGGTTTTCAGAATGGTTAGTTAGTTTTTTTTTTTTTTTAATATGTATCAGCCCACCCGGGCACAAGTCACTAACCCACATTGGGGCCTGGGGGGAGAAAATATAGTAGTAATAATAATAATAATAATAATAATAATAATAATAATAATAATAATAATAATAATAATAATAATAATAATAATAATAATAATAATTATTCATAGGTCTAGGTCGTGTTTCTCACTTTTTATCTTTTTTCATTCTTGTATTTCTTTATTATTATTATTTTATTAATACAGTATTATTGTTATTATTATTATTAATTTTATTATTATTATTGTTATCATTATTATTTTATTTGGGTGTATGTTTTATTAAAATTTTTATATACAGTACTATGAATAATTATTGTTATTATAATTAGTATTACTATTACATTTTCGCCCCCCCAGGCCCTGATGTGGGTCAGTGATCTATGCCTGGGTGGGCTAATCCCTGTTTTAAAAAAAAAAAAAAAAAAAAAATTGCTCCCACAAAATAAAAAAACTTACAGTTTTTAGAGCTTTTCGGTTTTGGGAATTTCGGATAAAGGATTGTCAACCTGTATACAGTTTTCTCAAAAGGCAAATTCTGCAGTTACTTATATATAACACTCTACAGTAATTACAATCATCTTAGTGAAAACAGTTGTTGACAACCAGACTTATATGTCTGATTTTCAACCCAGAGAGTTCTGTTTTGTATTTTCTTATTGTTGATGTAATAGTCTTTTAATAACTTTGTTATACACTTAAAGAACTTAGTTGTTGAAGTGCAGTAATAACCTAACAACTGATTTTCTTTAAACACTTCAGATAAGCAGTGTTATTGCCACCACCCCCTATATTTGCCTTTTTAGGACCTTTGCATTTTTGGGACTGGGTTCTGCCCCAATTAGTCCGATTTATTGAGGTTCTACTGTATGTAGCTCAGACTCTCAGAAACTTTTCCCAATACAGTACAGTACTCGGAAAAACTCCAGAGTTTGAGAGGGTGGTCTCGTTACCCAGAAATCTCTCATACCTGAAAGAGCTCCACACCAATTGTTCTGGCTAATGGAGATATCACTGGGTACCATTAGTAAAAGACATCCAATTAAACAGTATTACTTTTAACTTGAATCAAGTTACCTTGCATTTTGAAAGGAAAACAATGTTTAATGACTAGTAAAAAACATAAGATGACTGCTCACCCTGCAGCATGGAAAGACAGGGCTTGCAAAATTAAAAAATACAAGATTTGCATAATAAAATACTGCAATGGATTTCAAGACTTAAAAAAAGTTTGTTAATTTGAAATAGAGAAGATTAAATATCAACCTCACCTTCTCCATGTTCAGCAACAAACTGGAATGCTTTGAGTAACCTTAGTGTTTCTTCAACTGAACGGCCAACAGGTAAATCATTAACACTCATGTGACGAAGCACACCTTCAGGGTCAATAAGAAACAGCCCACGAAGTGCAATACCTGCATCCTCAAGTAGAACTCCATAGTCACGAGAGATATTTTTGTTAAAATCGGAGAGAAGGGGATACTTGAGACCTCCTAATCCACCTTGCTGGAAAAATTAAAATACACTTTAAAAGAAAACACATGACTTTCCATATTTTTCAGACATGTAAAACACTTTTTTGTCTGAAAATTGGCTGAAAAAATTCAGCCTGCATCGTATCTGTGAAGCTGTGGTCTCCCATAAATTAATGAATCCCCTGGTTGCTGTCCGCAGCAGGCTAAATTCTATTTAATCCAACTCCAGAATTAAAAATATGTTATTGCATACTTAAAAACATTACTTTTAATCAATTAAAAAATAATTATTGTAAATATAAAAGCTCAATTTATAACTACTGTTCTAATGATGATAACCCGAGAAGATCAACATCCGTATGACTGACACCCAACTCTTCAGAGTTAGTTAAGCAGTAACCATTTCTGAACTCTTACAAGCATTACAATCTATTAATACCATACCTGTAACATTTATTTTTAAATTTAAAAATACCTGATACAAATGAAGATTTACAGAAAACTTTCTTTTCACATTTGCATCTGTTAACATTGCTGGCGGCATAGTAGCCAGGTTAGACTCGCCACTGTAACCACCAGGCTACTGAGCCAAGCCGTGGTGTTATGTTTGTTTATCAACTCATATTTTGGGTAGATATACATAACTTTCTCCATTTATTTTTACTCAGTTACATGCACACACCATCCTACACACATGTTGTGAAAAAAAGTAAAAGAAATAATTGTCCAAAAGCAAAACACAAAGGGAATATACATTCCTTTGCACAAGAGTTAGCTGGCTCAGTGGGGGAGCGGGAGGATGGCGCCGTGTGTGGGGGAGAGGGAGCGTTGCTAGGGAATGGGCGGAGGTAGCGTCCTTACTTGTCTCCATTGCTATAGTGAAGCAGGGAGTATATGCAAATGGTGACTGTATTAAACTTTCACATGGCTTTTATTTACTGGTTTGGCAATACATTATTTTTTTTTAACTTATTTCTTGGTATTATTTTTACTTATTCCTCACATTTACTGGTACAGGAGATCCTCATTATAAGTGTCTTCATTATAAGTGGTTTTGCATGTAAGTGGTCAAATAAATGTGGACCTACACGTAAAAAGTCCCCACAGTCAAGAGTAATCAAAGGCTGAAATCCGTCAATCTTTGGGAGCACAGCATTTGAGCAACTGAAATTCCTGCCCGCTTTCCTTTCTCTTAAAGGTCATTCTTCTCACACACGCCATGCATGCTAGTACCAGTCACCAGTGTCCACAGGCATTATTTTGAAGTACTCCAAGAACTATAATTATCAACTTTATTGTGTCTTTGGTGACATTGGTGGACTATTTTTGTAGCCATCCGTTCCAAACTGAAGCAAGGTGGTGGTGTGGCTAAAAGGAAGCGTAGTAGCTATGGGATGGAGGTAAAATTAGAAGTTATGTCGTAAGAAAAGTGGTGAGCATGTCTCGGTGAACCACTTTCACTGAAATGAGTGTACGAGTGTGGGGTTACGTAGCTTGCGTTTTATCAATACACCGACCCTAACAACTTTAAGGGGAGCATCTGGTTGAGATACAAGGGGCCTTAAATATTGGTCGAATGCTTTGATATTCCTGTCACTAATTACAGACAACACGTAGGTCAATTCTAGCCCCCAAACTCTCTCCTCTGCCTGCTTCATTTTTGGCCCTTTTCACCCCTTTCTAAATTTTCAAGGTGCTTCTCCTTCATCATTATTTGCACCACTCTTGAAATTTATATGGTTTAGAACTTTAGAGAATCCATGGTGTCCTTCAGTATGATAAGTTTATTTTGGCTGCCCACCAAAATTCATTACCATTGTGAGGCAAATTCAGGATGGCATGAATGGCAGTGTTCTGTACACTGGCACCCAGTCTGAGTAACGGGGGTAAAACAAGGATATGTACTGGCACCAACTCTCTTTCCCATTTTCATGGCTGCCTTCCTTACTCGTGCCAGTGCCAATTTAGCCAGCTGGGTGGACATCCAGTACTGGATGAAGGTGTCAATACCTTTGAGTTAGCCCGACTGCATACCGAGGCAGACATACCGGTATGCCAATGCTGGAAAGACACTGTTGCCGTCCCTCTCGCGCTAGATGTAGCCCTCCACGTGTGCAACATCTGTGGATGACCCTGCCGGTACCGTATTGGCATCTCGAGTCACCTTGGAGCTTACCAATGAAGGTGATATCCCTAATAACTCATTTTGCTTTATCATCGCTGGATGATCGTCATACTTGATTCCGAGTGACAGCAAAGTAGTAGTAGGTGGGTGATGGTGAGTGTTGGAGATGGTGGTGAGTGTTGGAGATGGTGGTGAGTGTTGGAGATGGTGGTGAGTGTTGGTGATGGTGGTGAGTGGTGGTGGATGGTGGTGAGTGTTGGCAATAGTAGTGAGTGTTGGTGGTGAGTGTTGGTGATGGTGGTGAGTGTTGGTGATGGCGGTGAGTGTTGATGGATGGTGGTGAGTGTTGGTGATGGCGGTAAGTGTTGATGGATGGTGGTGAGTGTTGGTGATGGTGGTGAGTGGTGGTGAGGTTGGTGATGTGTGAGTGTTGATGGATGGTGGTGAGTGTTGGTGGATGGTGGTGAGTGTTGGTGGTGGTGGTGAGTGTTGGTGGTGGTGGTGAGTGTTGGTGGTGGTGGTGAGTGTTGGTGGTGGTGGTGGTGAGTGTTGGTGGTGGTGGTGGTGAGTGTTGGTGGTGGTGGTGGTGAGTGTTGGTGGTGGTGGTGGGTGTTGGTGGTGGTGGTGGGTGTTGGTGGTGGTGGTGCGCGCGCCCACACGCACGCACGCACGCACGCACGCACGCACACACACACACACACACACACACGGGAATTAAGACAACAAGCATCCAGAAGGGTCTTGTCGTGTGACTGCATGGAGGCGAATAAAAAGATCAGCTGTTGAGGAGCTTATCGCTTGGCAACACTGGCGCATGTTACCACTTCATCTCTCTAATCACCCACACCTTTCTGCTTTCTCACTCCATATTTTAAAATGTTATGTAATGTAATGTTAAAGGGGTACAACTTTGCTTATTTATATTTATACTTACCACAATCTCCCTAAAAATACTTTAGGTTTCGTGTTTATTCAAGACATCTTCAGGTCATGAGACCCACTAATCCCCCACCCAAGAAAGGGTGACCTGACATTCCATCAGGTCAGTAATATGAGACCACTAATCCCACACCCTACCTCCACCAGGTCAGGTCAGGTCCCCCCCCCCCCCAAAAAAAAACAACAACTTTAACTCCAATGAAAATTAGTTCCAAAAGCCGGAAATTTTGGAAAATTCCAGCTTTGGGAATGATTTTCCGAGCAAATTTCAATTCCGGCTCTCAGAGATTTCCGGGTTAGAGGGATTCCGGCTAACGGAGATATTACTGTACTATAAAGACTTTAAGCTTTAACAGACGTTTGGCTATAATGGACCGGCCTTTCCCCTAATTAGTCCATTATATAGATGTTTACTGTACTTATATTATATCTTTGACAATATAAAAAGAAAAAACACTCCAAAAAAATCATCAACCTCCCATTTTTTTTACTGATAATGTACAGTACATTACAGTACTATCCTTTTCTAATAATGCAACCCTCAGCATATTCAAGGACAACCTGCAATGTACAGTATAAAGATACACTGCATAAGAAGTAAGAAGAAAGGCCAGAGGCAAAAGACACCCTAATGCATAACATCTATCAAAAACTTACCTTTCTAGGCATGTTATCCCAGGCCAAGTGAGAAAAATGAGAGTCAGTGGATACACCCAATACTTCACAGTTGAGAGCATTAAAATCTGCAACATTCTCGCTGAACGCAATTAATTCAGTTGGGCAGACAAATGTGCTGGAAAAATATTACCTTGTTAACCATGAAGTAAACACAATACCTGTACAAGAAAGTATGCCATCTCATTGATTCTAATTAATTGGTATTTATGACAATAATTAAAACCTGAGTAATTTCACTGACTACCTGATTACAATGTAACCCACATGAAAGCTTGAATTATGTTTTGTCTGAGTTTAAAAAAATATTAATACAAATTGTGCCAATTGAAAAATTGAACTTACTATGCCTATAAGACAAATTTTATACACCATCATTGTACAGTACTGTAAAATGTTCTAAAAATATTATATGAGAAGTCTGTCTAATATGTCACAAGAGATAAGATATCAGTACACTCCTACATTCTCATAAACACAACTCATGAACCAATGACTTACAAGTCCAAAGGATAGAAGAAGAGCACAAGATATTTGCCCTTGTAATCTTCAAGGGAGATCTCCTTAAACTGTCCTCCGGCAACAGCTTGACCCTTGAAGGTGGGGGCCGGCTGGGTGACAGCAACAGCTAAAGAACGCAGGGTGGTAGACAAATTGCGCTGTACATTTACTCTGGATAGAGTGCTGCGTGTAGCCTGTAAAATAAAAACAAGAGTGAAAGAGGGCAATTAATGAAAAAAATAAAATAAAAATCTGATGGTTTTGTTTGCCACCCTTGACAGAAGTGCCTTACTGTTTACCAGTGTTTGTACAGCAACACTGTTAAGGTATACAGTACCTCCATTGTCTACATGCATGCACAACTGTTCATGTACTCTCAGTAAAAAAAAATTATCTTCACAATTCTTGTGCAAAACAAAATTACACCACAGACGAAGGTTTTTGATAAAGGCCCATGAAGCATACTGTTATTCACCAATCACATTGCAATGAACAAATTTTTATTTCAAATTAAATAACTAAATTAGGCCTACCATAATAGGTAGAAATATCTCACAATCATGCCTACCAACCCTAGTGAGACAACACAATAGTTCAGTTCCAAATTCATCAGACCCCTCCTGAAGGATACTTTTCTTTGTCGAGTGTACATACCTACATTGTCTATATACTTGGTCAAATAATTAAAAACTTGTATGACAATTTTACTGAGTACGTAAGTATATCTATCAGTCTATGTAAAGAGCACTGGTCATAAGCTGTATCAGTGCTGGAGGGTCAGTAAGTGTTCTGGCACTCAGTTATGACTTCAGATAGTATTAATCAAGCTGGCTGATGCAACTAAAATTATATGTATAATTTAGCATTTTTATTCACTGATCCACAAAATTTACAAGATATTGTACAGTTGAGGAAAACAGTAAATCATTGCTATTCACAGGTTTGCGATTCGCAATTTTGATTATTCACGGTAAGCAGATGTTGACTAGCTTACAAGCCTCTCCCACAGCGCAGCCATCCCCACACACCTGCAGCATCCCCTCTCCTTTTGTTTGGTTTCAACCATTGTCTGCGACTCAGCATCTCTCGTTTGTACTGGAAACTTTAGTGTCTCTGTGAAACAGCCCCTAAAAGACTGCCTAGTGTCAGTGCTAGTGATAATAGTGGAGTGAAACGTACACTTCATCGGGCCCCAAACTTCCACATAAAAAGGTAAGCAGTACTGGTGACTTGGATTTTCCATACACAGTACTGTATAGGCATACAGTAGTGCACTAAGGTAGTATAAGTTGTTATTCGCGGTTTTGCCAATTCACGCCATTCCTTGGAACCTAATCCCCATGAATGGCAAGGGTTTACTGTACTTGGCTATTCACAACCCTGCTTATTCGCAAAGCATACCCCGCTTACTGTACATAATTGCAAAGTGGATTAGAAAAATATACATGAAAACAGTATGTTGCTATAAAATAAGAAAAATAAGAACATGGTTGTCCATGTGTGTGAAGTGAACGTATGTGTGGACTTGGCATGTCGCCAAGTTAGACTGTCCCTGTAGCTACATCCCCCTACCAGGTCAAGCCCTGTTATTGTTATTTTTCTACTTTTAATTTTGGGTAGATAAATGTAATTTTATTTAATAATTTTTACTCTTGTTACATGCACACACAATTGTTCATATAGAATGTACAAAAAGCCGTTTTTTTCTAGTGTTGTATAAAAAAAAGTTTTTGTGATACAGTCCAGAATGCAACGTCTAGCTTTATACCTAGGTATGTTAATGCCTAGCAATAACTCACCAGGCCAACATACAGGCAATTAAAACATCTAATAATTACTTAATAAGTAATATTAGGAGGACACGTCGCTACCTGGCATTTAATTGCAATTCTCAAAACCCCCTCCCGCACCCTCCATCACCCGCATTGCTACCGTCATCTCTTGCCCTAGAGCGAGCATTAAATAAATGTCAACTTTCGAGGATTGGAGATGGGTGGGATGTTGACGACGCATTCTGGACTATATCACAAAAACTGGTATTTAGAAGAAAAAAAAAGGCTTTTACTTCAATCCAGAATGCAACATCTAGCTTTAATCACCCGAGTAGGAGGTGGAGACGGAGGTGACATTGTGTATATGGCTCCGCTAGCTTAGGTCCAGATTATATACAGTATACAGTGTATATATATATATATATATATATATATATATATATATATATATATATATATATATATATATATATATATATATATATATATATATATATATATATATATATATATATTACACCTAGACCCCGACTTACGACTACGTGGACTTACGACCGTCGGGACTTACGACCGCCTCAGATATAGATAAAAAAAAAAAAAAAATTATTTTATTTTTTTAAATGACACACGCATTTTCTATACCGAAACGTTTCCAGTTAATGTAGTCTCCATGTATAATTAGAAAATTATGGGGGCCCCATGTGCATTCAGCTGACTACATTAAAGGTTAAGTGCTCAGTCACACTGTATCCATTCCTTATTATTTATTACTTTCACTGTACTGTATCCATTCATCATTATTCATTACTTTTACTGTACTGTATTTCATTGTAGATTTTTTATTAAAAAAAAAATTTTTTTTTTATGGGTCCCTAACACCGTCGTGTATCGTGTAGGTGTATATGTATATATATATATATATATGTATATGTATATATATATATATATATATATATATATATATATATATATATGTATATAAGTGGCTCAGTTATAACTCAACCGTTCCAGAAGGTCGTTCGTTATAACGAAACCATTGTTTCAATGGGTTTTTGGGTAATTGGTTCCAGCTCACCGAAAATTTCCTAAATTCAACAAAATGGTAGAAAAGTTCACTTACTTTGAGGTGTGTATGTAGAAGGCTCCTGGATGATGATGATGATGATGGGATTTAGAATGGGGTGGAGGAGAAGGAAGAAGAGAAGGCATTGGGGTGGAAGAGAAGTCACCCCATGGTGCCATTTCACCCATAAAATTTTAGCTCTCTGGTTTAATTCAAGATTATTTTCTTTAAATCAATGCTGCACTGCATTATATATTGTCAATATATAAAATATATTTCAAAATGACCAATAATTTGCTTGGAAACACAGAAAAAAAGCATTTAGTTGAAGAGAGTCTCAAGCAAGATGTTACCTCCAGTGAAAACAGAGAGAGACTGACGCCTGTTTGCTGTGTTAAGAGGCTGGATGCCGCGCATTAAACTAGTCACTTTACCTTCAATTTCGTTCAATAATTGTTAAAATGACTAAAAAATTGAATATTAAACTTTTAAAATTATTGAATAGTATAAACTTCTTGATATTTACAAAAATAGTAAGGAATTTAAGCCCTAGAACCGATTAATGTATTGGCGGACTGATACTAAAGCTGGTTGCCCGGTCAGTGCAAGCGAAAACATGTTGAGGTCGGTTCGTAAGAAGTTCGTTAAGCGATTTTTTTTCGTTAACCGAATTGAAGATCCTTATGGAAGGCAGTTCGTTAATCGAAATTACGTTAACCGAGGTGTTCGTAAAATCACTGTATATATATATATATATATATATATATATATATATATATATATATATATATATATATATATATATATATATATATATATATATATATATATATATATATATATATATATATATATATATATATATATATATATATATATATATATATATATATATATATATATATATATATACATATATATATTTCATTAGCCCAATAGCACGCGGACTTCTACATACAATCAACACCTCAACCCGCCAGGATTCGAACCCACGGAAGGTAAAATGTCAATTTACATATCCCAATTAGGATACTCACTTTACTCTGATGAGGAAGAAGAAGGTTCTGGTTGTGGAGAGTAACTAGGTGGGGGAAGGGACCCCAGCACCACCACATGTGAAGCATCTTCCAGAGATAGATGAAGATAGCTGTTTTGAAAGGTTTTTGAAGATTTCCAAAAGCCCACTTCTTTGATCTGACTGAGGCTCATATGCCGCAGAAAGGCCACAGACCCTGCATATTTCCTGGTGTCATGTGCCAAAATTTTCTTGCCAGGGTCTGCTTTACTCACTGAGATAAATATTTTGTCATTTGACTAGGAGACAATTTCTTACCATCCTGTGATGAGAATACATAGGGGCCTCGATTAGGGAATCTGGTTAACCATTCTTGAAGATTCCTAACTGGGCACAATATATGAGGAACCCTTGTCTCATCCATCAGCCGTTTTATCCTGATAGGTTGAGCCTGAAAATCCTCCCTTTAATTTTTTCTTAGGATCTCCGTAGAAAAGAGGGTGACATCTTCCTCAGAAGATACCAATAATGATGGATTATTGGAAATTGAAATCAACTCACTGATTCTCATACCTGTTGCTCTTGCTAGAAGGAAGGCTGCCTTCTGGAGCAATCTGTCCTTGTTCAAATTTATATTGTAATTAGGCCCCATTAAAAAGTTAGTAACTTTATCTAGAGACCAAGGTGAGATTCTCTTGGGCCGAGGGGGTCTCTGAATGAAAAAGGACTATCTGAGCATTTGATAAATTCTTGAGTTCAAAGTAATATTAAAACCCCATGCCAGAGGGTCAACCAATGCTGATTAATAAGATGCAATTGTAGATCCATGAAGGCCTTTAACTCTGAACAGAAAATCTAAAAATTCTAACACCAAAGTTTCCGACAATGTGATTGGAGTCGTTAACCTGATAAATTGTTGGAAAAGTTTCCAAGCGTTCTCATATTGCATAGAAGTTTGGGGTCTATGACCTGCTATTACTTGGTTAACTATATCGAAATTACCCAACAATCTATTTAAACATCTTTTGAGAAACTCCAAGCGTGAAGTGCCAAGGATATTTCGAACTGAGGGTGCAGTTACTGGTATAGACATCCTTGTTGCAATTGTAGTGGATGCGGGCATCAGTCCAACAGATCTAGTCACCAAGGTCGTAGGATCCTATATGGTGTAATTAAGAGGACCTGTCCTTGGAAGGATCTGAGTTTGTAAACCACTTTGGGCAACATTTTCACAGGTGGGAAGAGATAGATTAAATTCCAACGGTTCCAATCTATGAGTAGAGCAGTTCCTAAAAGATTCGATTGTTCCAGAGATGCTTAAGTTGGCATCTCGTGATTGTTTTG